CATGGAACATATGCAAAAGAACTGTTATTAAAGATATTATGATAAATTTGCTAAAAAAAGCTTGTATCTCGTTGATAATTTAACTCAATACCCTGTGGTTATGACATGTAGTGAAGCCAATCACGGGTTAAAGGTTAAGGTGATGCCATGGAACACACTGAAAGTGAAATCTACTCATCTTGGAATACGTGAGCAATTAATTAAGTTGCAATTGTAATCTATTCAAATACTGATAAATACAGTCAAAAGTATTTGTATTTACGCTTTATCCATTGGTCAGAGAATAACTGAGATTGCTAACAGATATACTTATTGGCTGATTGATGAATTGCTCCATGTGTTGAACAAGAATAACATAAACAAATAATTGGAATGGAAAATGGACAATTTCAGTCTTAAAAACCAAAAATATACCATATTACCTGCATATGAGTATACCCCCTGCAGTTGGCATTTTTGAAAACTAATTTAACATATAGCCCGTGGATTACTTGTATGAAAATATGGTATGTCCTACAATAGTAGGTATTTCTTTCCCACGTTTTTACACTAATGTTACTACTGTACTGAATAATTATTTATTTAATTAAATAATACTAGAAAGAAGACAGAAGAATAACATGCAAAAAACAGAATATGTCCCATAACTATCACAATATTTCTGGCTTTCTAACTATGGCACAGATGTCATTAGGAAAGCTGGTCAATATATTTCCAACAACTGAAACTGATTCTACACATTGTCTATTGAAAAAAAAAGTAGAATAATACATCATTTCGAAGGCGGAACTCTTGGTCCTTATTGGTTATACATAATATAGTATTAAATGTCAGAGAAAACTATTGGCAAGTTCTGAAAGAGAGGATTGACAGGTGGGCATGATTTCCTATTTGATAGATTTTTTAACTAATTAAGATTGAAGGCTATAATTATTATACTTTGCCTGAGTGATGATGATATTATACTGCCACCCACAAAAAGGGTTAAAAAGAGACCTAGTTCTGCCTTTCTTGGAAACACTGATAGATAAGGTCTTTGGACCGGTTTTGCGGTAAGCAGTTGTAACAAGCTCGGGCTTGTTGTGTACCAAGCCAACTTTGGCACTTTTGCTTTGCATCTCAGTACTTGTTGCAAGGATATTCTTCAAGGTTCTGGGTCAAGAGGTCGTGGATACCTTTAAATGAAACTGTTAACTGTCATATGAAGTTGATGTTCTGCATACATGTATAAACACATCAAGTCTTACTATTGAGAAAATGGATATATGAAAATTTTGCATAAACTCACGTAAATCAGGAGGTTCCCAGGAAGATTAATATATCAAGGAGATAGGTGGACCAAGCAAAAAGTACCAGAGGACTGAAGATGAAATAGTCGTACCTGAAGACCCAACAGAGGATAGACTGTTGAACCATGGAGGCAGTGTGGATACTTTTGGTCAAGAACATCAAGATGTATTGGGCAAAACCACTAGCGTTGGAGAATTACGTGAGCTGAGTAGCAGCATTGGAAAATCAACTCTGCCTAGGCCGACTCTTGCAGTAGGTGTTCTGGATGACATATCCCGAATTCCCAACAGTGGACTAATTTGACCTGGTTTTATTGAGCCCTTCCACTTTCCAAAGACCCATGGGTGCAAATTCATCATTTTACTACAAATGCTAAATATCAAGGTGAGCAACTTTTTGTGTCTGAAGGGTTCAATACATGGAAAAAGTACACAGGTGAATCTTCAAAAAACTATAAACTTTCCAAACACAAGCAGTCTGCACATTTGAATAATGTGTGCAAATATAATGCTTATTTTGAATCAAAGCCTTCTGAGAAAACAGTAGTAGACTGCATTAATGAAGCTTACCAACTGATTGTGGAAAAAATAGGGAATACATAAAAATACTTGCATATACATTAAGATTTACAGCTGTCCAAAACATAGCTAAAAGGAGTCATCGTGAAGAAGACACAGCTTAAAATAAAGGGAACTTTTGGAAATGTTAAACTTTGTGAAGACTTATTCCCAGATGCTAAATGAACAACTGTGTGAAGGATCTAAAAATAACAAATATACACACCAAAATGGATATCCTCAGTGATATAATTTTGGAAGAAATAAAACAAAAATAAGAGAAACTTGGTACTTTTCAATCATGGTTGATGCAACTGATGACTTATCCATAAAAGAGCAGATAAGTTTGGTACTTCAGTACTTTATGATTCAGAAGTTCATGAAGAATTTCTTGGTTTTGAAGTCACTAATGAACTTGATACAGAATTATTGGCCAAATATATTCTGGAGGAGTTATAGGACAATGGACTTGAGGTTACAAACCTGATTGGTTAAGGATATGATGGTACTGCCATCATGAGTGGCAATCTCAGTGTGTGTGAAATCTGTTACCCCTGTGGCTGACTTTTTCTCAATGCTTCAGACTTTCTACAATGAAAAGCTTATAGAATATAAAACACGATGGGCTTGCCAGATGCATCCTGTAAGTGCAATTGTAGTAAGGTTTGACTGTTTTATTAAATTTCTGTGGCATGTTGACATAAGTGACAGCAATCGAGACCATGCATTAAATGCCTGATCCATATTGGTGCAACTTTACTAGATTCATATACTATATGCTGTCTGTGAATGACATCTTACGTGAAGGCAAAGGAACATCAGATATGCTGCAAAGTTTCAAGTTAGATTACTTTAAAGCAACAGATCTCTTTGAGAGTCTTCTAACAGAGTTGCAAACCTACAGGTGTGATGAGAAATTTTCAATGTTCTTGTAACATCACCACCAGGGATGACCTGAAAAGTTGAATTTCATGTGAATACAAGATGTCTTGTTTTGCTCCCACCCCCTGCCCCCAGTATAAAATGCAAGTTTGGCTGGAGTAGATATATAAATGATTACTTCTTATTGAGTTTACTAGTAATGTACATTAATTTTGAAATAGTGAGGTATCATTTTATTTTGTGAGTTAATCAGTTCACTGTCATTATTATTGTAAACTTAAGCCATTTAGTAAATATTAGTAAAGCTAACTTGTAAGACTTTGGTTAAAGAAACAGAATGTTTGGATTATTTTAAGTGTATGTACTCTTAATTTTTCTGAAATAATCCAAAAGAACCCTCCTAACAATAGAAACTGTTAAAAAATATAGTGATAATTGACAAAAAAAATTAAGTTACGGGAAGCATAACATTAAGCCTTGAATATTAGGCTTAATTCATAAGGCATTTATGGAAATACTTAATTTAATGATGTTCATTCTATGGATCTTTTATTCATAGTACTTTTAGAAATATTTGCTAATCTTGACATTGATAACCACCATTGAATACTGTAGTTTGCAATGTATGGACTTTTAAAGGTCATATTTTTTTTTTACCTATTTGAAATTGTAATATAAATTTGTTTTTATGGGTCTGGTTTTGTGTAGTTTACACATCTTACATTTGTAATTCTATATATTTTAATGACTGCTTTCAGTAGAGTCTACTTAGAATTGCAATTTCAAAATTTTTCAATATATTAGCAAGCATTTTAGAAATAACAACATAAAGTGTATGTATAATTTTTGTAAAATATCAGCATCCCCAAATTTGTTCTTGGAACAAAATTAAATGTATACGTTGGTTTTTTATATATGAACTTGAACCTAAGTTGGCCAATGTATTCATACGGTACCCTTTTCTGAACTCTTAACAATTTGTTGTTTGGGTTGATTTATTGAAGACCACGTTTATTGTCTGGATGTATCTTTGGTATTTTTTAAAATCACTTGAAGATAATTGCATTTTCCACTTGTATTTCTTATGTATACATATATATATATATATGTGTGGGTGGTAGATGCACACTCGTGTGCGTGCAATTAGTGTTAAGATCCAATGCATTTTATTAAGTCAAAATGAAAACTGGATGTCTTGTTTAAATCTGACAAATCACCATTTTGTTCTCAAAACAAGCATAGTTATTAATACACCCTAAGAAATATTGCATAAAATAATTTATTTGGCAAACTATCATAATATAAAATTGTTACGAAATATATCCAACTGGCAGAATTAAATGAACAATGAAATTTTTGGGTAAAATAAGTATATAGTTTTTTTTAACCATTCTTTGGATGTCTTTATTTAAGATGTTTGATATTACACTAGTTGAAAGAAAGATCTTGTATGGATAAGCCAGGAAAAAACAAATGCTGGAAACTTGAGAAACTGAAAGCTTAATTTTAGTTAAGCCTAAAAATACATGTTTAATATTATGTTGTGTGTGTGTGTGTGTCTCACATCTATTCTAAGATAATATATTAACTTTACTGCATTTAAAAAACATCATTTTAAAATTTTTTAAGTGATTATATTCCAAAAGTACTTGGTATTTACTTGAATCTTTTTCACAACATTTTTAGTAAATAGAGAAGATTTAAGATCTAGATAACCAACTTTGGTCTAAGAAGTTTTTAAAGAGCAACAACAGTTATAAGCTACAGCAGTTTTATCTAGTAGTTGATAGTTTTTATTATATTGTAGCATTAACTTGTTTATCTGTACAAGTAATTTCCAGTGTAAAAGGTATATAAATTA